TTAAAACTTTCTGGCACCGCAGTCAGTCATTTGCACTGTATGCATTCTTAGAAAAGTTAATTTTTTGCTTTGATCCTTTGCGAATGAATTTAGGCCAAGGTGTACAAATTCAAATGCCTACAGAGGCCAGCTAGGTTAAATAAATAAGTGAAGAAGACCAGGCATACAAAACATGGAGAATGGTGACAGAGTCAAGTATGCCTCACCCACAGAGATGCCATGACTTGGTTCCAGCCAGTTGGTGCCATATGGAAATAGGGCTAAGGCTTCCTGTTGCTTCTCCAAGAGAAGACAGGACATCTTGATTTTCATGTATTCCCTCAGTATTTTAATGTTGACATCTGACTCAGGTTTTTGTTTTGTTTTGTTTTTTTAAATAACCGTAAAGGTTAAAGGAAACAGCACATCTGTGGGTTATTGGTTTCTGGTTTAAGCCTTAACCTATTTTTGATGAAAAATACCCACTTTCTGTGGTTACTAATGATGAGTTCTTTTCACCCATGTATTACATAATATTGGCTCTAATAGAAACTTTTAAATCCACAAATGTGTATACCATGTTGCCTTATGGTTTCTCCTTTTACCACAGGAAGCCTGCTGTGTGGGCCTTGAGGCTGGCATAAATCCCACAGACCATCTTATCACAGCCTACCGGGCTCATGGCTTCACCTTTACTCGGGGCCTTTCTGTCCGAGAAATTCTTGCAGAGCTAACAGGTTTGCCATGGGTTTACAGGAGGGGGATGTGAGTCGATTAAGTTTTCCAATAGTTCCCATTAAGTTGATAACCTTTATGAGTTAGTGTTTGAGTTTTAAAAATCCTAAGGTTTGGTAATCTGGTACCTCTGTTGTACTTTTGAGTAAACTGACCATTTTTGAGGTAATCTGACCCCTTATGTAAAAAGTTTTTGAAAGGTTAGGGCTGTACAGTCAGAATAGGGTTGGTTATCACTCCAAGTATGCCAAGCAGAAATCTGGCAGTCATAGAAAATAAACTGAAATCAAGTTGAAGTTTTCTGTGGTATGCAGTGTAGATTCTAGGAATATTTGTAATATTTCCTTTTTCTTTGTTCCTTTCAGTCTTGAATTGTTTAGTGTACCAGTGTGGGAGAAGTCAGAAGATGTGTATAATTGACCTTTCTACGTTAACATCTTGCTTTCTGTTTTTGTTTTTGGTGGTAGGGTACAGGGGTTTGAACTCAGAGGGCTTCATGGGCCCTGCTGCTTGAACCACACCTCCAGTACACCTTAATATCTTGAAAGCAACTAAGTGATTAGAGAGCAAGCACAGTTGGAGTGGTCAGGAACCTGGGATTAGTCTGACTTATCAAAGGACAGGGAGACAAGAAGGAACATATGTTTGTATGGAGGGACAGATTCTTAGTTGAATTAGCTTCAGAGTACACATTTGGGGTGTGGTTTTGTTTGCTTCATATGGTTGGTTTTTCACATGTGTGTGTACACTGTCATTTCCAGGACGAAGAGGAGGTTGTGCTAAAGGGAAGGGAGGATCAATGCACATGTATGCAAAGAACTTCTATGGGGGCAATGGCATTGTTGGAGCTCAGGTAGTCAAGGATGAGTATTGCATGCTTCCATAGATTTGGTCCTTTCACACTCCACAGAACTTTTCTCTCAAGAATTTCAATTGGGTTGGGTTCACTTTTAAAGACCTATTGCTTCTTAACCATTTGAAAAATCACTAAATAGATTTGGATAGGAATTTAAAATTTATTCTTTTAGGTATTATGTTTTATAAGTAAGCAAGAGCATATAGCAGTGAAGCTATCCATTCAAGTTGCTTCATCACATCAACTCACCCTACCTCTGCTCCTAGGCAGTGCTAATACTTGGGCTAAATTAGAAGATGGAGGTGATCAGGGTGTCAGGCCTAGTGGAATTCTCCAAAGCCCACTTCTATCAGTAGGGAGTTGTTCTTGTTCTACCGGTTAGTGAGTGGTGAAGCATTAATAGCATTACAATTTTATCTAATACAGTATGATTCCATCATACGTGTTTACACCTATTTTCCTTTTTTTGATTCCTTGGGGTTAGTAATTGGATCTTTGGGTACAGAAATGTCATTGCTCACTGGTTGAAACACTATAGCATTTATTCATATAATATTTGTTCATTTGTTGAAATAACAGGATGGGTGAGTAGAGACAGGGTCAAAGTAGGAGGAGTTCATAGCAGCAGTATAATTTCTACTTCAAATTCTGTCCAGAAGTTAATATTTTAGAGCATTACTCCTCTCATGGGTTTCTGTGGTTCATTTCTTGGCTGTCCTTAATGTTAGGTGCCCCTGGGAGCTGGAATTGCTTTGGCCTGCAAGTATAATGGAAAAGATGAAGTCTGTTTGACGTTATATGGTGACGGCGCTGCTAACCAGGTGTGTCTCTTATATTTCCAATAACAATTGATTTCCATGGTCATGGTTGATATTGTAAAGAAATAGTATATTGCTTATTAGTTGAAATAGCATTTCGTGGCTAACATTTGTTTTTATGACCATATTAGAAATTTACCTCTTGGCATGTTTCACCAGAGCCTTATAGGGGTGCATTCCTATGAGGAAGCTCTTTGCTCTACATTAGTGCTTTGCAGCTGCTCTGTGGTGGATGACCTTTTTTCATAATTCTAATTTTAACCAGTTATAAATCAATACTGTAACATACAGACTCATTCTGTTATATGCCTGGGCAATGTCAAAATCCAGTAATGGTGTCTGAATCCTGACTCATTTCTTCACTTGTCCTGTCTTGGTCGAAGTAATTACCAGTATATAGAAGGCACTCATTGAGGCCCTGTCTTAGATGCTGTTTCTCAGATGCAGGTTCACTCTGATTATCCAGTGGGTCTTATACACTAATAGATAGCCACACATTTTTACATGTTAATTTTCTTTCCAGTGTATTGTATTGTACTAGTGGCCCCAAGAAACAAGTAGTGGTATTTGCTTTGTCACTTCCCTTAGTTGCAAGAATATAATGCCTGCTGCTTCTCCCTGACACCCCAACACACACGCTCCTTTTCCTTACCACCAGAAACTTGGTTTTAGAAAATGAGGCTTTCTAGCCTTGATGAAAGCTGTGTCAGCCACCACAATGACTGTTACAGATGATGGTGAAGCCTAGAAAAATAAACAAAATGAAACCACTTGACATTTTTATAAATACTTTCAGGGTCAGATATTTGAAGCTTACAATATGGCGGCCCTATGGAAATTACCTTGTATTTTCATCTGTGAGAATAACCGCTATGGAATGGGAACATCTGTTGAGAGAGCAGCGGCCAGCACCGATTACTACAAGAGAGGAGATTTTATTCCTGGGCTGAGGGTAAGGACACCTGTTGTAAAGCCAAGGCCACACCCTCTCAGGTAGATGACCTCATATATGCTCTTGACAGTCTTAGCGAAATTGAAGAGTTTCATGTTTATTGCACATGAACAAGTCATGTAAAAGTAAAATGACTGGGCACTGGTGGCTCATGCCTATAATCCTAGCTACTTGTGAGGCTGAGATCAGGAGGATCATGGTACAAGGCCAGCCCAGGCAAAATAGTTCACAAGACCCCATCTCCAAAATAACCAGAGTAAAACGGACTAGAGGTGTGGCTCATGTGGTAGAGCGCCTGCTTTGCGAGCACAAAGCTCTTGAGTTCAAACCCCAGTCCTACCAAAAAAAAAATAGTAAAGTAAAATGGGAGGGCCTGGGGTGTTGCTCAGTGGTAGAGTGTTAGTCAAGCATGTTCAAGGTCCTGGGTTCAGTCCCCAGCACTGGGGGGAAAAGTGGGTTTTGAGAGTTTGATTTATATTCTATCCCTTCCACCTTTATTAACAGGTAGATGGAATGGATATCTTATGTGTCCGAGAGGCAACAAAGTTTGCAGCTGCCTATTGTAGATCTGGGAAGGTAAGCCTCTCCAAAGACTTTGTCTTAGGCCCCAGGACTAAAGACTTCTAATGACATTTTTCTGACTTAACTACAGAAGGCTTCTCACATGGCTATTGTAGCTATCCAGAGGTAGCTGCTAAGTGAGGAATATATAAGATAGAAGCAGAGTCCAGTCAGGTGAATGGGCTCCTTCTAAGAATAGAATGATCTTGGTAGCTTACCTCCTGGGAAACATTCCACATTTCCTCTTATTTGAGGTAAATCTTTTCTTCTAGTGCTTTCTTAGCCTTTGCCTCTATCTTCATCATGACAATTTGTTTTTTCTTGTGGTTTGGTTAATTATGCGTCCCTCCTCCTATTGATCATAAGTCCCCTGAGTGACCAGATTGGGCTTCCCTACAATGCCCAGCAAAGAACTTTGCTTATATACTAGGCATTTTATAGGTTCATTTTATGCAAATTAAAGAGCATGTGTAATCTTAGTCTTGCAGTGTATGGCAGTGAGAGAAAAGGGGAACATTGAGATTGGCCTGAAAAGAGGTTTAAGTACCATTAGCATTAGGAGAAATTTGTAGTTACCCTTCCTAAATCAGTGTTCCACAGCCCTGAAAGCACACCTCTGTGGTTTACCTTTCCATGACATACATACGTGTTTGTCTGGGCAGTAATGCCAATTGGGTGTGGCTCACAATGGTGAAGACCACAGGAAAGGAGGAGGACAAGGAAGCCAAGAAGGAGATGTAGTGTTAAATAAGAGATAAGAAGGATGAACTGGACTAGGACTAAGGCAATAGGTTGGCTGCAATGGGCAGCCACTGTACATTTTTCACATGAAAAGTCAAAGTAAAGCATTTCACCATTTACTTTTGAAGCCAGATACAAGTTCACTTCCTTCATCAAATTAGTTTTGTTGGCATCAAGTAGTTGAGTCTTAGTCTGAAAACGGTGCTCCTAATAAATTGTTCTACACCAGGACTGTAAAACTAAGGGAGTCAAACCCTTAGGGTTGAGTGATATCACCATGTCTTCCATTTCCTAAAAAGAACATGGGGGTTCCAACCCTGGGTGGGAACATAAGTCAGTTTATTGAATGTGTTCACTTCCAACCTGACCAAAGCTCTGATTTTAGAACTAGGGAGAGTCTGGAAATCTCTTTATCATTCCTGGCTTAACCTACTGGTTCTAAATGTCACAAGATGACATAACAAGAGATCATTGAGGGATTGACATATTAGGCAGTGCACTAAACATTTTTGGTGTTATGTGATCTTCACAGTTCTGATTAGGTATTGCAGACAAGGGAACTGACTCAAAGAACAGTTGAGGGTATATTTACCATATCTTAGAACCAAGTGCTTGGACTTGGAGCCATCTCTTACCCTCTCCCTTTTTTCTACATACCAAACTACCCAGAACTCTTCCATCCACCTCTTCCCCTCAGTATTCAGAGCCTTCTGGAAGTGGACTAGTATAAAATGAGCAAGCCACTTGGTGATACAAAGCCAGACTGGCCAGACTCCTAGTAGAGTTGCAGGCTTTAGGTATCAGAGGTCACTGGTGCCCGCCTGCTTTCTCTTACAGACCAGTAAGGTCTAGATTAAGCAGGATTGACTGCCAGCCCCTACCAAACACTGTCCATCAAGTGGGCTAACATGCTCAGAGCCTTTTTGATTGAAAACAAGCTGTTGACAGATTGCTTTAAGTTCCTGTTAAAAATAAGGATGAAATGTGCAATAAGTAGATATTAAGACTCAGTCAACCAATAAATTCTTTTCAACTCATGAAGATCTGATGAGAATATACTAGATGCTGTGAAAGTCCATTTGAGGGTGAGGATTGTTTGGTTGTACTGTTCCCACCATCTTGCTTACCACTTAATGGTTTGTGTTTTAGGGGCCATCCTGATGGAGCTGCAGACTTACCGTTACCCATGGACACAGTATGAGTGACCCTGGAGTCAGGTAGATTCATTGGGAATCTGAGTGTGGTTTCCAAAATGGGTGGGCTTTGATTGGTGCTACTCACACGAAAAGGCAGAGCATTTCAACATTTGCTTTTGAAGCCAAATACAAGTTCACTTCATTAATCAAATTAGCTTTGTTGGCATCAAGTAGTTATTTGAGTCTTAATCTGAAAGCCATGCTTTCAATAAATTGCAACCAATTTATTAGGAACCAAAAAATTGAAAGCTTTTTTGAAAAAAAAGCCATAATATATAGTTTGTGTTAGCATGAACAGTACTTTTGAAAAGAACATTATGTAACTAAATTGCAGAGGGAAATTGATATCAAACAAGTCTGATGATGGGAATAGCACATTTGAGGGCATATTTAGGTATTACCCCAAATTCATACATGACATACTGTGCTCAAGGCTTGGGATTTGGGAATACTCTGGCTGGTGGGGAGTGAGACTTAACTGGTGCACAAGATGTTCAGTAAGTTGAAATATATCAATCAAAAGAGCTAGGTGACACTAGAGGTGGGTTTTCTTTTCTCACTTAGCTACAGCATATAATTCTGCAGTTACAGGTTTCACACAACTGAAAAGTCAACTTAGTTAAAGTAATCAACCCTTTGTAGAATGGACTTCAAAGGGAAAATGTAATTTAGCAATTTAGGCGGGAAAAGGCACTTTGTGTAATTCTACCTTTAAAAATGGTAGAGTCCTTTTCAGTGTTGTTTCCAATGTAATGTCAGGAAAAGATATGTTATAGAATCAAGTAATCAGAAAACCTGGTGTCCCAAGTTTTTGCTGGCCATACTTCTTTGGGTTATTGGAGAGAAAGGCAAGGCACGTGTATTTTCTGCTTGGTGTTCTGATTAATTATCACTGCTGCCCCCCTACTCATGTAAAATATTAGGAGCCCAAAGGGGTGGGATATGTGACACTTCCTTTATACCTTACTTCCAGATTGAAGAAGCAAACCAAAACTTGGCCCCTGGTGTCAGAATGCCAGAGAAGTCCTCTGAGTTACAGTGTACAGTGTTCTGCTCTTATAGGCAGTTAGACTGCCTTTTTGTGTTTTGAAAGTGTACCCCTGCTATTTCCACAGTAACATCAGTATTGACGTCCCCCTTCCTTTCAGAAACATACTGCTGTACTTCACTAAGCTGTTGCCCCACAGGAGCTGTGCTTG